TTTCATTCCAAAAAGTATGTTCAGGTGCCAGTACTGACCAAAATTTTTTTTCCCATAAGGAATATTGGGAAAGTAGATTAGTCCTTTCGACCCCCCCAAAACATAAACGTACAAACCACTTACATAAATACACTTACATAATTGGTGCATTCGGAGGTAATCGTTATGGGGGGGGGTCCACTGTACTGCATTCTGTTTCCCAAAGTCTTTCTCTATCAAGAATATAATAAGAAAATACATCCCAAAAAGGCACCCCCTTTTTGGGTAAAACTGTTTTATAGATAAAAAAAAAACCCAAAAAAATACTGTTTTCAATCTGGAAGCAAAAATCCGTATAAAATTTTGTAATCAAGAAAAACAATCACAATAAACTTTTGTGATTGTAAATATGTAAATTTACTTTGTAAAAAGTAGGAAAAACACCTGTTTTAATGTTTTTACACACACCCTTTAAAGACATGTGTAGCACACTAAAACGCTCAGGTGTTTTACCTTTTTTCACGTGTTTTTTGTTGTAAAGGTTCATTGCGGGGGTTGGGGGCGAACTCAGCCACGCACTAAGGTCCGGGGTTTGATCCCAGAGGGGGGAAAAACTTAGGAGTTTTTCCATAAGACCCCTGCTGCCCCCGTTCCCTTCAGTAAAATAGGCACCTGGGTGTTAGCCCCCTTTACCCCTGCTGTCCCGTTCCCTATCGTAAAATAGGCACCTGGGTGTTAGCCACCTTACACCTGCTGTCCATGTTCACCTATCAGTAAAATAGGCACCTGGGTGTTAGCCACCTTACCCCCTGCGTCCATGTTCACCATCAGAAAAATAGGTCCAGGGGTTTTAGTACGGTTGGTTTTCGCTCCCGGGGACAAAATTGCCCTAATCTGGGGGAAAATGTCTGCATAAAAAGGGGTTTTTTTGTATATTGTGCCCCTGATGTCGCTATGGTCTGTATACCTTGTAATGTACTTGTTTTCCCTTGTACATGAAATTTATACCTTTTTACATGTACTTGTAACCTTGTACAGTACTTGATACCTTGTACATGTACTTGTTACCTTGTACATGTACTTGTATACCTTGTACATGTACTTGTATACCTTGTACATGTACTTGTATACCTTGGTACATGACTTTGTATCCTTGTACAGGGTACTTGTAAAACCTTGTACATTTTACTTGAAAAACCTTGTACATGTACTTGTATACCTTGTACATGTACTTGTTACCTTGTAAAATGTACTTGTTTATACCTTGTCATGGTACTTGTATCCCTTTGACATGTACTTGTATACCTTTACATTTTTACTTGTATACTTTGTCATGTACTTGTTATCCTTGTACATGTACTCATATACCTTGTACATGTACTTGTATATCTTGTACATGTACTTGTATACCTTGTACATGTACTTGTATATCTTGTACATGTACTTGTATACCTTGTACATGTACTTGTAGAAATAGAGATATTATTATTACATTAAATGCAATCAAAGCAATAAATGAACAGATAGTTTATATTACTGTACCCATGTTGCAAATACTAACACAAATGAGTGATCTTACTCAGCTATGCGTAGACCTCGACAATTACTAAGTCCCACCAGAGAGAATCCCTTTCGTGAGTCTACACTAAGCTTGATTCGTCGTTGATTATCAGACTTTGCTGGAAGCTCTGCAATAAATTAATAAATTCCATTATATCATATCATGAATAAAAATATTTTTTTAAATTTATGTTTCACATATTGCAAAGAGTAACTTTTTTTTTAACCACTTGGCCACATTCCACTGAGGCAGGGTGACCTAAAAAGAAAAACGACAGGTTTTTCTTGTTACAATTAGCAATTTATACAGGAGAAGGGGTTACAAATAGCAATATATAATATTTATGCAAATTCCCTAGGTTATTAGCCCCACAAGGGTCAGTGCCCTAGTTCTACGGCTTTGCACTCTGTCAGTGCTGTAGTTTTATGCCATGAGCTCAATTTTTGCCTAGATATGAGAGAATGGGTCTATACGGTGAGTATGTATCATACAAAAACAATCCTGCAGCAAGATTAGATTTTTGCCACCGAAGTGGCTAGTTTATTGTGCACCCTGTATCCATCCTGTGGACGGTAGCGCAAGAGCATATGGATACACAAAAGGCCTAGGAAACAGGCCCCAAAAGGGGTTAACGGGTTTTTACAAGGTTTTTTATATCTACAGTTCACTTTCGTTAAAAAAGCCAATTTGGGAAATTTTACTTAGTATATCTGTTCATTACAAGATTCTTGACATGACACATGGTTATTATACTTTCATCTCTGTATTCCCAATTTAAATGGGCATTAAGCACATAGTGGTTCAAGACAGTGCCTTGCTTGACCCCATATTTGGGTCACTGTGTGTTTCCCCAAACTGCCAGAAACTTGTAACAAAACCTAAGCCTGGCCCCTACTACACATCATACTTGTAACCAACCCAACCTTTTTCACCAAAATCATCATACTTTTAAAACCAACCTAAGCCTGGCCACTACATCAACAGTACTTGTAACCAAACCTTAGCCTGGCCACACATCGGGTCATACTTGTAACCAAAACCCAAGCCGGCCCCAATCATCAGTACTTTTAACCAAGCCTAAACTGCCACTACATCAGTCAGTCTTGTAACCAAGCCTAAGCCTGGCCACTACAACATCAGTCATACTTGTAACCCCGCCTAAACCTGGCCACTACCCAACCATCAGTACTTTTTAACCAAGGGGCCCAAGTCTGGCCCTACAACATAGTCTACTTGTAACCAAACCTAAGCTGGGCCCTACTAAAAATCCCCTCATACTAACCAAGCTAACCTGGTCACTACACAAACTCAGTACTTTAAAACCAAGCTAAGTTGGCCCCTAAAAAAATCATCATATTGTAAACCAACCTAAGCCTGGGCCATACAACACAGTCAGTACTTGTAACCAAGCCTAAGCCCGGCCCCTAAACACATCAATACTTTTTAAACCCAAACCTAAACCTGGCCACTACAAATCAGTCGTATTGTAACCAAGCCTAAACCTGGACACTACAAAATCATCAGTACTTTAAAACCCAAACCTAATCTGGCCCCTACAACATCATCAAACTTGTAACCAAACCTAAGCCCCGGGCCCTCAACATCATCAAATTGTAAAACCCGCCCAAAATCTGGGCCCCTAAAACATCAGTCAGTACTTGTAACCAACTAATCTGGCCCTACAACATCAGTCATCTGCCACATTGCAAGTTGCTTCATGCATATTATTCATTTACGTTTTCATAGTGGTTTAAAAATTTCCAGACTTCTAACTGCATTCCTATAACATTCTTTTTCATTGTTTACTGCAGCATGCAGTGCATAATGGAAAAAAACTGCAACCGCGTCTTTGGTTTAAAACAGAGACTTTGCAGTGCATTTTCGGATGGATTTTATAGTTGTATTCTCGGTTTCTTGGTATCATTTGATAGAATGGAAGATATATTACAGTAGTAGAGATGATTTTGATTAGTTTCAGGACTGGAAGTAGCTTGAAATTAAGCTCAAAGCAGCGGAAATGTTCGATTTTTGCCGACATTCAAGAGTAAACAAACCACGCAACGCGTGCAACACGAGTCTATTGGTGGGTCTAATATGCATTCATGAATGCGCTGACATTATTTACAGTTATTACAATAATACAAAACAGTAAATCTTATGTTTCTGTGTGAATAAAAAAATTTTGGGTGAACAAGAATTCTTTGTGATAAAAATTCAAAATGGAATTAATGTGTAAAGCCCCGGAACATAACTAATGAACAGAGGAAATATTATTTTAGTGCCAGGAATGCCTGCATTGTTTATTCTGGACACTATTTTGAGATTGCAATACAGTGGACCCCCGCTTAACGATCACCTCCCAATGCGACCAATTATGTAAGTGTATTTATGTAAGTACGTTTGTACGTGTATGTTTGGGGGTCTGAAATGGACTAATCTACTTCACAATATTCCTTATGGGAACAAATTCGGTCAGTACTGGCACCTGAACATACTACTGGAATGAAAAAATATCATTAACCGGGGGTCCACTGAATTTTGAAATTTGCGTGAAATTGATCAAATTATCAATTTCCAATCACTTTATTGGGTAGTTGAAATAGCTGATTGAGCAGTTTCTTGTGCTCAATAAAACGAAAGACGTACTAGTGAAAAAGCTAAGAATTTGGTTGACTGGAACAATATATCTAGGCCTAAAATAGGATCGAAAGTGGGCAAAATCCCCAATTTGTAAATATTGTTGATGCAGCAAAATTCGTAATAACATAATTTCTTCAATTTTCCATCAAATTTCATATTTTCTGTTTAATTACCTTCAGAAAAAATTCTCTACGAATTCATTAGAGAAAAATAGTTTTCTTTTGTTTTTTAAATTTTTGGACATTGTGGACACTATCACGACTCTGGATCCAGACACTTAAGGGGTTAATGTAGATTATCTTACCATAGATTATCTCACTGTGGATTATCTTAACATAGATTATCTTAACATAGATTATCTTAACGTAGATTATCTTACCAATAAGTTGTATACTGTGAGGAACTTTGGTGAACGATGTTGACTTGTTCAATGGCTGCATTTGTCTCTTGTAGCATAATCCACTGAAACAAATAATTATCATCACAAAATAATTATGATAAACTAACAATTATCATCACAAAACTAACAATTATCATCATAAAATTAACACATCACAAAATGAAAAATTATCATCACAAAACTAATAATTATTACCACAAAACTAACAATTATGATCACAAAACTAACAATTATCATAAAATAAACACATAACTAACCACGCCCAGGTGAGGAAACCTAAGACAAGCTTTCGATAGCTATCTGCGTTTATGTTTTTTTTTTTTTGTTTGTTTTATTTGTAATACCTAAAATTTACATTTGTATACCTTCATCATCCTCATATAATAGTAAATAATTGTCATTATAGTGAGTGTACAACGAAAACCTGTAATTGTTTTACATGATGGTAGGATTGCTGGTGTCTTTTGTCTGTCTCATAAACATGCAAGATTACAGGTACATCTTGCTACTTCTACTTACACTTAGGTTACACTACACACACATGTACAAGCAAATATATATGCACCCCTCTGGGTTTTCTTCTATTTTCTTACTAGTTCTTAATGGCTTGATAAAGCTCCTGGAGAGCGAAACGCTGCCACTTACTAGTTCTTGTTCTTGTTTATTTCCTCTTATCTCCATGGGGAAGTGGAACAGAATTCTTCCTCTGTAAGTCATGTGTGTTGTAAGAGGCGACTAAAATGCCGGGAACAATGGTTAAGTAACCCCTTCTCCTGTATAAATTACTAAATTTGAAAGAGAAACTTTCGTTTTTCTTTTTGGGCCACCCTGCCTCGTGAGATACGGCCGGTTTGTTGAAAGAAAGACGAAAATTGTCATTATACCTTCATTGTCCTTATACAGTACAACTTCCTTATCTACTGATTTGCTGTCCATGGTTTCAGTTATGCACGGTTTATTGTGTCCAAAATACCACTTAATTTTGCATAATACTGGCCCTAAAGTGCAAACACAGAGAAGTCGGCAGTTGTTCAAAGTCTAAGAGAAGTCGTGAAGTGCTTCCCATCAGTGAAAACATGATAATTCTCCACTTATTGTGCATAATTTATCAATTAAACTTTATAATAGAGACGTATAGGATTTATATATAGGGTTTGTTTCTATTTGCTGTTTTGGTATCCATGGCCGATCCTTGGAACTTATCCCCCACGGATACAGGGGGTCGTACCGTATAACAGAAATAATTATTGTCATCGTAGTCTCAAGTTAGACTTATATTTGCCTGAAATATCTGAAGGAAATTTGCTATATTTATATACTTTATATACCAAACTAAAATTTATAAAAACTATAAAAATCACAATATATTTAAATCATTAAAAAATTTAAATGAACATAACTTACAAAAATGGCTATTTATGAATGATCACTTGTCAATGAACAATAATAACTTACACGGAGACAGAAACTCTGGTCGATCTGTATATTTGACCCTGTGAAGAGGACCTCAGAAGGGGATCAAAATATACATATCAATCTTCCGAGTGTCTGTCTCCACGTGGGTTATTATTGTACATGATTATGCTTACCAATATAATTTTGATCTTTCAACAAGAGCATACGACTCTCCGTCACCAATAAATGCTGAACATGAGGTACATACGAAGCATTCCGGGTGGAACTTGTGGTCACCAGCGACCATGACTGGACCAGTGATGATCTGCAAGAACAGGAAATACTGAGTACTGGAGGTGAGAAGTACAGTGCCTGCACTCTAATGGAAGGGTGAGGTGGGAAGTAGAGTGCCTGCACTCTAATGGAAGGGTGAGGTGGGAAGTACAGTGCCTGCACTCTAAAGGAAGGGTGAGGAGGGAAGGGCCAGGAAGTGACAGTGGCCTGCACTCCAAAGGAAGGGTGAGGCAGGAATATAGTGTATGCACCTCTAAAGAAGGGTGAGGGAAAGTACAGTGCTTGCACTTTAAAGGAAGGGTAAGACATTGCAATTTACAGTTCATCTGAACTGTGATGTCACTTCTAGCAAGACAAGTGACTGAATGAATAATGGTGAAGGCATTTCCTCTTTTTGAGATCACCCTAAAAAATAGAATGGGTAAATATGCTTCCCAAGCATAAGTTCTAATAACCACATGTATTACTATTACTACTACTAATACTAATATTACAACTACTACTATTTCCACAATGATTATATTGTGCCGTACATCTCGCTCTAAAACCCATACAGCCTCTCCTCACTTAGCGATGTACTCATTTACCGATGACTCGGACTTACGACCACCTCTCTAACCAGTATGCAAACCTAAATAATGTATATTAGGGCTGATTTCCTCTATTCTGTTTATTACAATATACAGTGCATTACTGTATAAACATTTAAAAATACAGTGGACCCCCGGTTTACGATCACCTCCCAATGCAACCAATTATGTAAGTGTATTTATGTAAGTGCGTTTGTATGTGTATGTTTGGAAGTCTGAAATGGACTAATCTAATTCACAATATTTCTTATGGGAACAAATTCGGTCAGTACTGGCACCTGAACATACTTCTGGAATGAAATAATATCGTAAACTGGGAGTCCACTGTAATGTATATTACAGCTGATTTCCTCTATTTTGTTTATTACAATATACAGTGCATTACTGTATAAACATATAAAAATATACTAAAAATGTTATAAATGGTACAAAGGCGACATTAAAACAACCACCAGGCCCGGTGGCCCGGTGGCCTGGTGGTTAAAGCTCCCGCTTCACACACGGAGGGCCCGGGTTCGATTCCCGGCGGGTGGAAACATTTCGACACGTTTCCTTACACCTGTTGTCCTGTTCACCTAGCAGCAAATAGGTACCTGGGTGTTAGTCGACTGGTGTGGGTCACATCCTGGGGACAAGATAAAATTAATACAACAGTTTCCAACGTTCTGGTGCAATGGGCTAAAAATGAAACGAGATAACTACATTATCACTAAAATAAAGGCTGGCAAGTCTCTACTTGTTTCATTCTTACATCTCAAAATGGTATTTAGTTACAGTAAATTATATATTATCTTACTTATTCAGTGGTATGCAGTTATTTATATACATTGTCAAGTTATACATAATTCATAATTTATAATACGTCAACTTCAATGTCATATAATCATATTATATTACTGTGCAAGTATCATAATATTCATATTTATATTCTAGTGTCAAGTTATATATATATTCATATTTATTATACTTGTCAAGTTATCATATATTCATATTTATATACTTGTCAAGTTATCATATATTCATATTTGATTTACGATATTTTAAACTTACGATATTTTCAAATAGTAAAAAATTCATCAGAATGTAACCCAATCATGAGTCAAGAACCACCTGTATACAATAAAAATATACAGACGGGCCGCGGGGGCATTGATCCCCGGAACTCTCTCCAGGTAAACTCCAGGTAAACCCATGGTTGTATATATTCCTTGAAGGGTAATTAGGATAAACGTGCACATATTTTCTACCTCACCTGGCCACAGTCTTGACAGGCTTCTCCATATTTCTTCCAATAATCGTTTTTACAAAAGAGAAGACCATCTTTTTCAAAATACCAGCTGTTGAGGGTAATATCACACGCACTACACCTGAAACACACGGAAATATTTATGTCATTAACCCTTAAATGGTCCAAACGTATATATACGCTTTTTCAACATCTGAAAGTATGTAAAAAATGTAGACCTTTTTTTTGTTTTACATTTGAAAATGTGTAAAAAAATTTTTATGTACATTTTTTTTTTGTTATATTTGAAAATACAGTGGTCCCTCGCTTTTTGTAGTTCTCGGCAATCGTAAATTTTGCCAATCATAGGGGTATTTTCGTATAAACATGGACTCGCTTTTCATAGGTTGACTCACGAATAGTAGTTCGTCCAGGATGCTTACGCACGGTGTGAGCCGGGCGGCCTCCCTACCCAGCCATCTGCATTGTTTACCTGTGAATGAAGGTCCCCTCAAGTGCTCCTAGAAATATTTCATAATATTCCACTCATTTTAGTGCTTGCAAGTACTAAATAAGCTACCATAGGCTCCAAAGAAAGCTCCTAGTGCCAAGCCGTGGTAAAGAAAGTGAGAAATATGTACAGTGACAAAGTCTTGTACCATTTAGGGAAGTGTTTAAAGAGACGCCAGAAACAGAGTCTCTCCACAGTTACTTTGCGAGACAGGACTAGAGTGACTCTCAAGTGGTCCTATGGCATTAAGAAACAGAGAAGAGAAGCAACCCCAGAGAAGCAATTGGTACCTGAGGTGTTGCTGAAGGGGATTCCCCTTCCAAACTATAAAACAATCCACTCTCTCTCCTCCTCCAGTCTCCCATACACTAAGAAGAATCTCCAATAAAGGTAATGTTATGCTGTTAATTTTTCATTCATCATTTCCCATTGTATTGTTTATGTACTACATGTATATTTCATGTAAAAAAATCTTTTTTTTTAATACTTCTGAGTGTCAGAAATGGATTAATTGTATTTACATTATTTCTTAGGGAAAATTGATTCGCAAATCGTAAATTTCGTTTAAGTAGCTCCTCCAGGAACGGATTAATTACGAAAAACGAGGACCACTGTATGTAAAAAAAAGTAGATCTACTTTTGTAGCATTACGAATTTGAACGTCGATCTGTTTGGACCGTTTACGAGTTATATATTATAGGGACATCCACACACACAACCCATTATTATTATCATTTTTATTTTTAGAATTACTTTTAAAAGGTATTGTTATTTTTTATTAATTTTTATTATATTTTTTATTATAATAAAAAATTAAATATAAATAATAATAATAATAAAGTAGGAACTCACCACACTTGCACTAAACGGGATACAAAAATGTCTGAAAAAGCAAAGTTTGTTATACGGCACTTCGCTTCAGAGTGCTTTGCCAATATGGCACTTTTCAATTATACAGTGGAAATCCCGGTTTACGATAATTTTTTCATGCCAAAGTATGTTCAGGGGCCATTAAATGAACGAATTTGTTCCCATAAAATATGTGAATTAATTAGTCCCATTTCAGAAAACCCGATTTACCTGGAGTTTTACCTGAGAAGAGTTCCGGGGTCCAACGCCCCCGCGGCCCGGTCGAGACCAGGCCTCCTGGTGAATAGACCCCCAAACATACTACAAACGCACTTACATAAATACACTTAATTAAATTTGGGCGCATTGGGAGCTTGATCGTAAAGCAGGGGTCCACTGTATTTATTATTTTAGCGCCCCTTCGTTTAAAATGGTTTCTGGCATTTTCAAAAAAATTTATTATTTTAACCTGCATCATTTGTTGTAGGGCCCAAATGCAATGTGCACTTAATAATTTTACAATCAACATATTTTTTAGGCTTTATATAGACTGGCAAGTGAAAAAAGGAAAGATTCATTCTAGGGCGATATTCACTTTTGCAGCAAAGATATGGGAAACCTAACTCTTGTATTTGCTAGGGATTTCCTGTATAGTTTTTGTGGAGCTGTGCTGGAAGATTGCCCTTAAGTCCTTGAAAAACGTTGAGAATCTCCTTATTGTGTACATCATTATTGTGTATAATATTATTATTATTATTTTTACAGTGGAAACCCCAAAAATTGAACTGTTTCCCAACTCAACCAATTTTTGGGAAGTGTATTTTTGTAACTGCTTTTATAAGTGTATTTTTGAGGGTCTTAAATGGTCTAATCTAATTTACATTATTCCTGATGGGAATAAATTTTGTTCGTAGTGGCACTCAAACAGCCTTCTGGACCGAAGAAAATTCGATATTGAGGTTCCACTGTACACTAAAACAGGGCCCTAATGTGTTTGTAAGATAAGACTTCTTGTATGATGAATATTATACGTAATTCCAGGTCCCTAATGCCTAAGTTGAAAACTTTCCCATAACGGTATCTTTGGGTTCCGGCAAAAACTGCAATTCCAGGCCCAAAATTGGT